ATCGGCAAAAAATGAATTGGAATGAAATTGAAATTGAATGCAGTCACCCCTCTAACTTGATGGATGGATAAATAAAAATCGGAGAAGAAGTTTAGAAGAAGCTCCGCCCTCAACTCTAAACCCCGCCCACTTAATAAACAATTCATATAGAAAAATAGCGATTTTAACGGAATTTCTGTATTTCTTTTCTCTCTTTTCTTCTTTCTTCTTCTCCTGTTGTCTTATTGCTGTAGAGTTGTAGGCTATTATTGCGATAATCATGAGCACACAACGCCAAAAAAACGTATACAAACGTCAATTTTCATTTTCTAGTACAAACCGCTCTTATCTATGGACCGCTCTTATCTATGGGATTTAGGGTACTTGTTGCTTACCTTGAGAATTCGCAATTCCTTCTACGGTGTACCTTGATGTTCTTTACAAGCAAAGCGGCGGGACATATGAACGACAGGATCACAAACAGCCCCAAAAATACCACTATGTTGAACCTGAAGTCGAAAATTGCAAGATTCGTCTCATGAATTTCCAGATAGACCAGGAAAAGGTAGACGGCAGGAAGCTCACTTTGTCAAAAGCAACGCATGGATACGGCTCTTGCTGGAGCATACATACCAAGTGAGAGATTTGACTTGACACGATGAGCGATTATCGCCCGTTCTACGCCTTCTGAACGGAGCTGTGCATTCAGAATGAGAAGAACATTGACTGCCATTGTGAGGAACGTACCTTGAAGGAATGAGAACCCGTATGTGAGATACTTCAGGTCAGTGAACGGCTTATTTCGATCGAAAACTCGCCGTGGACTGTCTTCGTAGTAATATGTATCTGGAAAAAATACTTATCAAAGGCAGAAGCCAAAACACCGCACCCCTTCTCACAAACAGCGCTGATTGCCTCAAAAAGTAGCGCAAAGAACTATGAGCCACTGGTAGCTCATATTCTGCAAGCGAGACGGGTATGAGCCACCGGTGGCTCGTACTCCCATCAAGGTGTTTAAGGCAGCTGGGTGCAGTGTGACGAAACGATCCAACCGCACAAGGTTTTTTGAAAAAAGGTTAATAGTTATAGCAAGAAGAAAAGGAAAATATGCGAACTCGCATCACTCTCGTTGAGGGGGCGTCGTAGTTTGGTGTGATTTTACTTTGAAATCTGTTTGGTTCAAGGCGATAATTTGACTTACTGTCGACAAGGTTTGGAAGATGCCGAATCTTATAGACGGTAATTGGATCGAATTCAGTGGCATCGTCGGACATGTTCATTACGACAATCCCGGAAAAGTACTGCTGATAGTCGGCCAAACAGGTAGCCGTCTCTTCCATTACGGACTCGTTCGCCACTGTCACAAAACGATCCAAAAGAAAACACTGCAAATAACAAAAATTGGACAAAAATCAGTAGAGAACGAATTCCCTGGGAACAGCTTTCTTTGAAGCTTTTTCTAAGGGCATAAAATAGTGCTCGGAAGGGCGCTGATAGGCAGGAGCAAGCGCAGTCGTCATTACCGAAATCAGCCAGGGCGTTCAGCGGGACGTGGGTATTGACCCTCACCCACCCCTCGCCCACCACTCATTCAATGCCCTAAGCCACAGCGGTCGATGAAAAATAGTCTGGCGCCCTACCTAAACCCGCGCCTTGCTGTCACGCCCCGAATGACCGTGATGATAGCGATTAAAGAGCAGCGCCTTTTGCATTGAGTTCTTGATCCCTTCCTGTCAAGGGTCCCACTAGTGGATAATAGGCTTGTAGGGAACGCCTTACATGGGAACAACGATGAGTTGTACGTCAACTGGCTGAGCAAGTAATTATATAGGCCTAGATAAATATTAAAATGTTTTTTCTAAATGGGTAATGACGCGATCGCTCTGTGACCTGTTCTGGTTGCCCTTCCCTTCTTACGATAAAATTCTGTAACGGCCATGTAAACTTGCTTCACCTATGGGAGCTTATCATTGCCAGTAGAGGGGTTGATGATAGGTAGCGGGTGCCTTTGGAACCTCTTGAGGTGTTTCTCAGGACACGAAGGGCTTCAGTAGAATAAGTCTTTATAAATGATTTCTAAATTCCAGCTAGCACTCCCATTTTGCAAATTAATTTTTTTCAGTACCATGTTCTGCGCTCTAATACCATCGTAAGGTTCTCACCGTGCTATAATTGTTGAATGTCTCCGTGAAATTCTTCGTCAAAGCGCCGAACGAATATGGATCGGTGGCGGGAGCAAAAACGTGCTCCAATACGAACTCCGCGCTCTTCAGCCATTGCGGCTCCACTGGTAGTTGTTTGCCAAAACGTTGAAGGAAGACCAATACATTCTAGAAAACAGTTTTGGTTAGCTTAGACTCTCTCCCACCACATTACTCCATCTGCAGTCGACTGCAGCCACAATCATTACTATTACGTTGAAAATTATGCCTACTAAAATAGCCGGTAGTCCAACGTACCATACTAGCAGCTCGTAGATCACTTTCATAGAGTGCCTCCTGCAGACTGTCAGCGATTTCTGGATAGGCGTATAACGACTGCCGAATGAAATCTGCCATTCGAAGCGGATTGTTTAACTGAAACCCATTTGCTTACAGAATTATTCCTAATAATTTTGATGAAAACCGCATATAAAGTAAGATAATGCAAATATTAACACAGTTTCATTGTGAAAATAGTCTTGAGAAGCAATAAATGTACTGAGCACATAAAATGCAAAACTCTTGGAGGTATGGGGAATTGAACCCCAGCCCTCTCCCATGCTAAGGGAGCGCTCTACCACTGAGCTATACCCCCACGACCGCAATACTCGCCATACTCCTTGAGACCGTGGGAGGGAAGACCACGCGATCGCCACATTTCTATGGTGCTATAACCACATTTACCTAGATGGATAACAGTTACAGCACCCACGTCACTTTTATGGAATAAGCCATGCATTCTGACTTCACCAGAGGGTATTTGAAATAATTACTAGTGCACGCTAATAATGAAATTCCTTCAGAGCATAAAACAATGTTATGTGCACCCCGTGCACATCCTCTCCCAATAAATGGGAACTGGAACTACAGACAAGATTACCGGTGCGCATTAGAGTATTCATCAGATAGGCGAATGTTTCAAGCAACTGGTTTCTCTTCTTTATAAGAAGACCTCCTTCTCTTCTTTATAAGATGACGACAAGGTACCAAATTTTTACCAAAGATGAAATGGTAAGCTTAATCAACTGAAAGCCTGCGAGACGAGAAAAGACTCACCTTGTCAATCAGTTCCTCTACAGCCGGTGATGGTGGGGTGACAAGTATGTAACCGGTGAACAAAGGGCGCAGTCGTTGCATTACGGCCGACTCCATCGATGAGCAGTTCAAATCTTAAGAAGAGAAAATTACACTTAATCAAGAGACACTGAGACAAATACGAATAGATAGTCAGTTCAGAGCTTTCGTATTTCGTTCAACCGATTGTGAGCTCCAGGATAACCCAAAAAGGAAGGAAGTAGCGCAGAAACCGGAAGTCGGAGAAAATCCCCGGCGAAACCTTCAAAGGTACGGTTTGCGATCAGGTATAGAAGTTGAAAATATGGCGTCAGGAGGGTAGTGTGTTTCGCGACGCACAACCATGCACCGGTTTTCGCTGCAAAACAATTGCAAGAGAGGGCGCTGTAGCGCAATCTAGGTTCAGTGACGCCTCCTTTTCTCCAGTGACTCCGCCTCCAGACTCCGCCTTTCAGCAAAACGAAGCTGCAGAACAAAAAAAGCATGAAATAGTCACTCGTGCAGCCGTAGAGTTCTTATCGGATCAGCTGCGCCGGATGAGAGCATAAGTGGTTGAAGATGGAGTTATCTTGGCACCTGCAATTGGGGACGGAATGGGGTTCGTATTTAGAAAGACTTAGCAATGTTTTCTTCTGCATTGACTTCAACTTTGCGAGTCCTCAGAACTTGTCTTCTTATATGCAACCTAAATCATTTTGTCACTTCTATTGTCCACCAGTGGTTCTGCATTACTTCATTCTGGATGAAGACCTAGTGGAACTTCCTGTGAAGGTGGTGCCAGCTTCGATCGAACCTATGATGGGTGAACCAGTCAACGTCATGAAGAGGCTCTCTAAACACGGTGGGATAAGTTGCAAAGTGAGTGCACATGCCCCCCCCCCTGTCGCACGCGCGCTTTTACCTAACACGCATTTAGGCCGATTTCTTTCTAACAGAGTAAGCGCAGACCTGATCTTAGGGAGAAACTGGTGCAGAGAAGAACAAAAGACCTACCGTCAATGAATCCATGAAGTCATTGCCATGAACTGTTTGTCATTTTTCTGTTGACCAGGCCACAATTCTCATCCATCATAAATCTGGAAGAACAATAATTCAGAGACGAATACCCCATAAAAATCACTTTTCCTGAATGACAAACTCGATGAGATTTTGGCGCAGTTCATCAAACGGAGTCTTCGCATGGGTTGGCACAGGTCCAAATCCATCAGTAGAGGTGTCTGGAAACAACAAGATAAACAAGGACAGAGTCTGAAAATCTGTACACACTGGTAGTGCAAGTCGAGAAGACACAAGCTCAAAATGGCAACGCTCTTTTTTTCACAGCTGCACTAGCTCAGCACTAGGCGGGCACTGAACGCTGCGGGTACACTCGAAATCCCTGAGATGAGGTGAGGTAGGCGTGGCTGCGTACTTCAACCAAACGTCGTGGTGGCTATGCTTTTGGAGAGATATTTTCATTTTGACCCAAATGTGGTCATGTCTCTGTCCAACAAGGAACAAGATGGCGGTTGTCTCAAGTTGGAAATATACCCACAGGTAACCAGTTCTTGTGCCATGTTCGAATGCCACGCCTACCCGTCTCAGGGATAAGGTGTATATCTGGAGCCGTTCTAAGAAAAAAAAAACCAAGTACCAAATGGATTTTCGCCACAGAACAGAGCCGATGTGATGTTGGCTTGTGAAGTCGAAAGAAGGTGGTTCCATCTCAGGAAGCCTTTGTAGAGTGGCTGTTGATCCAGCAGTGAGGAGAATGTGGTGAACGATAGGACTAGATCTTGTAATGATACATTCCTGTCTTTGAAATCCTGAAAGCAGCAGGAATTGGACTTCAGAACAGAAATAGAGAAAAAAGGATAGCTAGGGGGAAGAGCGTGTTGTTCGAAATATTGAACAGAGTGCCAAGAACTTCACAGTGCACTATCTCTTGGAAAGTGGGGGGGGGGCATGAGCTGGAGGGCAGTCAGTGCGTCCTTTTCCAACAGCTGTTCAATAATGAACACACAACAATTGGTGGTTGCATAATTAACCCACAACAATTGGTGGAAAAGGGTTCATTGGGTGCATTCCTTACATTCAACTCCAGCAGTGTTCCCCAGAAGCGTCGCAGAATAACATCGAGTAAGCTCGTTGGGTGGGAGCTTGAGCAACAAAGTGAACTCTTGGATTGCTCCTGCTATGAAATAGTGCTCCTGCTATGAAATAGAGATTTTGCAAGGAAGAACTCTGAATTTGGATGAAGGGCGATCTTCTAGTGCCTCAATCATAGAACTGTGGTGCAGCGTGCCCTGTCGCCCTGCTGATTTCCGCTCGGCCAGTGGCCAGTGCCGGTTGTCTACTGTATAGGATCGGAATGTTCCGAAGACACAACCTTCCAAGGTTATTTCGGCTAATTCCAGATACTAGATGCCTTACAAGACACGAATTTTCTGTCGCTGCGCGAGTTCTCTACAATCCAAAAGCTCCAACATCCGATCTACAGCTCGGTGAGTTTCTTGTCGATCGTGGACTTTTTCGGTGACTGAAGACTACTGTGGCGTGAGCCGTTGCAATTAACCACTGCCTGCTACGTGGTCACTCAAATGAAAAGCGGTACCACTTTGCAGCGTACCCTAGCGTTCCTATTAGGGCGCGATCGGTTGGCAGGAGTTTACACAAGGCTCGCTCCCAAGGGAAATAGCGCCGAAAAATCAGATTTGGAAAAAAAAAGGAAAAAAACTTTGAGAAAAGCGTGAAGAGTATAGAGGATGAATTACCGGATATGGTTCGAGTGTGAAGATGTCCTTATTTTCCTTGTAATATGTCAGTAAATCGAAAGGAGATGTGTCACACAGCGAGCGGCGATCTTCTTTAGACAGAGTCGAGCTTAAAAATCGTATTGTATCAATCCTTCACAAAACTGAGAGCGGTGGGTTGAACTGTAGTAGGCGCTAAAGCGATCACACGCATGGTTCGCGGACCTTTTTCCCGGATTTGACAAACTCGAGTCAACAAAGCATACATCACTCGAAGATCATCCATTCTATTCATCGTCACTGCAGGGCACCAGGGGACGGTTGGGGGGCAAAAGAGACAATCCGCTCGTGGAGTGCATCAAAAACGTTCACTTTGTACAAGATGGCAGATACATGAGGTACCCACGGCATGTTCCCATGATGTCTGAAGCACGAATAAGCACCCCAGATCAGCGTCCAGGGTCCCGACATGTAGTCACGCTCGCCGGCCTGCAGAGGACCTATAGCAATCCCATCAGCCTGGAAGGGGTACGTGACAGGAGAATCGTAACTCGCCGCGCTGATGAAAATGACGATGGGTACCAGCGTAGATGGCGACAGCAAATTGGGAAAAAGTCGCACCTAACGCGGCGAAGCGGCGTATTACGATTCTCTTGCCCGTCTCCCAGCTTGGGGCAACTTCTTAAACTTCACGGTTGAGTCTTTCCTGTTCAGGCTCCTAGAAAGTGTCGCTATCAAGTGAAAAGGGAGCAGCCGCCCGAGCTTTTCGGACAAGTCGGGCGCTACTTAGGATGGGGAAAGGAGGCATTTCGCACTTTCATTAGTTTCTTTCACTAGTCCCTGTCGATCGACAGGTCTCACCTCAGTGGGACCTGTGACTCCTGTCAAGTGTGACCAAAGCTCAGGCTACTGCACAGGCTTCACAGGACTTTACAAAATTCACAGGAACACATTGACAGTGACTGATGATGATTAGCAAAATGCTCCCACCAAGCCGGAAGCCGCCCAACGTCTTTATGGTCCATAGCACCCTAACGTCACAGGCACGCAGGCTTCGCGTATTCTGAAGATACATGGATTGACAACACTACCTAAGCCACATGTCATGGTACCCAGTTACCCATCACGACGTGCGAAAAATGTAAGGTACCCATTATGGGGAGGTACCTTCTCATGAAGAAAGTGCCTTTTCACAAGTTATAACTTAAAAGATAGGTTCTCACTTGGGCGGTAATATAAAGCTGCTGTTAAAGACTGTCTCGTTGCAGAGCATCGGAACAGATTGGAATGCCATGAAGGGAAGAAGCACCATCGGCTGAGATCGAAATTCACTAACCTTAAACTAACACAACTATAGAAAAGCAGAGTCAACAGATATCTCAACATAGTAATATGAACTCACATATTTAAAAAGTTCCAAGAAAAAAGTGGGCGTTAATGTTGAATTGGCCAAGGCCATCGACGTATTACGAGACAAGCCTAAACCAGCCAGCTCCTGCACAACATCTACCGATGGTCGAAAAAACTGAAAGGGGTAACGATATTCGTAGCAATGACAGAAACAGTAAGGTTTTGTAAGAAATGAAATGATCGATGTTGATCTCTTTATGATGGGCCACACACATGATCCAAAATCGTAATCCTGACGACACCAAACTCACTCACATTCGGCCTACTGCAGACGAGGGTTGCAGAAATCGATTGATGCCCAAGCTAATTTACTCGTCCTTCCGGACTAGTGTGACAAGAGGTAAATGACCCCATAAAAATAAGAGGCTCTCATGTGGCTGGTTCGTACCTCCAGGGTGGAAATCTCTTATGATACTCCGCATTCACGACAACACTAGCAAACCACTAACTGTCTAACTGCTATAGCTGTAGCACAGGCTGTTCGTAGGGTGCAAATAGCGCACTTGAGTCTTCATATTTATGTGAAGCGCACGTGGCTAATGCCGTTTGGACTCCAGAAATTTCGTCTTCGAGCTCATTTTCAAATTGCCTAAGTCACCAAATCCACTAAAAACTTGTATATAGGGGTAATTCAACATCCTGATTACGAGTATGACACTCATTCTTGGCGCTGGCGCCACTACGATTACCTCCTGGGCTCAGCCTTAGCAGAGCGCAGGTAACCGTAGTGTCATCCATTAGCGCCAGCGCCAAAAATGAATGTCATATTCGTGATCAGGATGTTGAATTACCCCTATATACAAGTTTTTAGCGGATTTGGTGATCTTGCCACTTTTAAAATGAGCTCGCAAAGACGAAGAATCTCTGGAGCTTTCAAATGGCTCTAGCCCGAAGCACGATGGTTTAGAATGAGTTTAACGACAAATACACACGCACCCCCATAAATCTCGTCATTTGGGGAAAAAAAGCAGCGAGTGAAATAAGTTCCGTACGTTACAGTTAGCGTTACCAGCCCATATTACGGCCGAAAGTGCAGATGCCGAACGAATAGAATCGGAAGGTAATGACACGCGGGTGCCGTCTTCCGACTTCGCCAGCGCTGCCCAACGGCCAGCCACACGTCTAACTATTATATAACTGAACGCTCAGCCCTTTCACTTCTGGCTGTTCTCCGCCGCTGACTGCGTGATCGCCGCGGATCAATCTAAGAGCTGCGTCTTGAGGATAGCGCCGTCGGAATATGGAGATGATATCGAGGTATCACTACCCTGAATTCTCTACAATGCACTTTTGAAAGCACTGCAGCTGCGGACATTCATTCGTACATGGAAAGGACCATTTTTGGAGGTCAGCTTAGAGTTTTTCTCAAGAGGTGCACTGTTGAAAATTTACCACTTCCATTTGCAGAAGCCTTGGAGAGTCCAACCAAGTGCTGCTTACTCGCGGGACATGAAGTCGGTATCTCATCCATCCGAGACGACAAAGCATTTACTCAAACATCGAGATGATCACCCACCCCATAACTTGTAAGTCACTGCGTGCACATATTTGGGTCGTATTTGGTCGCTGGAGGGGCGTACATCCCTTTGAGGAAAGAAGTGTTCTCTGCTGCTGAGTTTTCACAGTTTTCCTATTTCAAACGCCACATTCTCAAGTCCCTGACGCCGTTTTTTTTAGAGGGGGACTGGAAGATTTCTCGGAAACTCTGGAGCAGTGGTAGGAAGCTGGAGCAATTAAGAAAGAGCGTAGATCGGAGGGGTACAGGGAAGACGAGTCGCTCTACAGGAATCCTGAAGGAGGTCGTGCTTTGTAGAAATTTTCTGCAGCGGCAGGTTGTGCCATGGCCATCGATTGCCTCATCTGCTTGTATGTTACCTTGACATCAAAATACCACCTATACCGGTTTCTGTGCACTCCTAAAATTTTGTAAAGAAAAACAAATGAAATGAGATGAAGTTACACCTGACGGAGCTTCGGTAGTTCGATCTCTGAGCCGTTGATGCGTGCGAGGGTCTTGACGATTCGAGTGAAAGCATCGAGTAGTCGCGAGAATTCGGACGGATTTTCACCGATCCATTCAAGCTGCTGAGACGAGAAGTAGAGAGCATCAACTATTCTGAAACCAGTTACAGGTATAGCTTTGTGGCTTGTTGTACGGTAGTGCTAAGTATCGCTTTGGTAAGCTCC